TCCCATTGTTCATCGATTTGCTCGAGCAGGAACCAGTAATGTCTCCATTGTGAGACTTGTTGTTACTGTTTTTGGCATATCCAATAAGCCATGGGGAGCTTGCCAGGCTCTGCCATGTGAGTGGGACACTCTCGGTAGCTTGCTGGGCTCTCTGAGAGGGGCAGAGGAATCAAACCCAGGTCGGCTGAGTGCAAGGCAAATGCCCTACTTGCTGTGCTATCGCTCCAGCCCAACAGTTAAATAAAGGGGAAATAATTCATAAACTAATCAAACTATAAAATTCCTGGTACAAAAATTTCCAAAATGATAGACAAAAATGACAGACAAGAGTAGAGTATTTTCAAGGAGTAACCATCATGTAAAACGGAATTAATTCCTAAAAATCAATATAAGAGACAAATAGTCCAACAAAATGATAAAAGAAACACATACATATGTAAGTGGCGCGCGCGTGTGTGTGTGTCTGTACACTTCTCACTGAAGGCAAAATGCAAATAGCTTTAAATATAGGCATAAACCCCCTTCAACCTCAACAGCTTCTATGAAAATGTTAGCTAAAAAGACTTTTTTTTTCCCTCACAAAAAATTGGCAACAACTTAACAGGCTGACAACACTAAGTACTGTTGACAACATGAGAAGGCATACTCACCCAGTCTCCTGCGGGATGGAAATTGCTAGGAGGTTTGGGGAGCTAAATTTGGCAAGTGCTCATTAAAAGAGCCATATGCCCCGCAAGTCAGCAATCCTACTTACTATACATTTATTTATTTATTTATTTATTTGTTTTGGGGGCCACACTTAGTGGTGCTCAGGGCTCACTCCTGTCTGCTCTCGGGTCACTCCTGGTTGTGCTTGGGGGGACCAATTGGGATGCTGGGGATTGAATGGGGGGTTGTTGCGTGTAAGGCAAGGGCCCTACCTGCTCTGGCCCTTTATGGTACTTTATACAGAAGTTTACATCAGGATATGCCCTGTGACATTGCTTATCATATATCGTATCAAACCTCAAAATGTCCCAGGAGAACTGACTGTTCATTCCACCCTCCACCGGGCAGTGTGAAATGGAGGGATTGGGTGAGCCATGGGCAGAAGCTTGCCCAGCAGGTAAAGGGCTTTTCCTGGGCCTGGTCAAGGTGGCAGCAAGACTGATTTCCATTAGACTGTTGCTTTCAGAGTCGTTGCCGGTAAGGTAACCTTCCTGCCTGCACCCTAAACCATCAACTTCGAATCCCCCATGCTCTCCTTTGGACAACTGTGACAGTATTTCCCAGGCACTACAGGGTAGAGCTACAAAGCTGACATCGTTGTCACTTAATTGGGAAGAGGAAGAGATGAAAAGACACGAAGAGTAAAAGGTCATTTTTGGCTAAAACACAGAGTTATAGAACTTTCTAAACATGCTCACGCAGGTGAATTCCTAAAGGACAACTCCAGAGAACAGGGATTTATAGCTGTGGTCAAGGGGTCTGTTTCTGGATGCTTCCGTTTCTTTCATCCCTATTGTGCAATTTAGGCGAGTGGATTGGGATTGTTTTGAAGGCAATTAAGACAAAGGACTCAGGAAAGGCTTTGCCACCCCCTTTAAAGGCATGAGGTGGGGGACACTGTACTGGGAAAAGAGCTAATACTGAGATGACCTTTTTTTTTAAAATACATATCAGGAAAACTGATTTGCAGGACAAATGTTTGACAACTTGCTCTTCTCTTCCTCTGATTTATCTTTCTTCCCTCTGGAGTTGAAGATTCCACTCGCTTTGTCTCAGCTCGGGTGGTAGATAAGCCTCAATGGTCTGTCTTAGGTTCTCATATATATAGATATATATATATTTTTTTACTCACTCATTTTCTTTTCATTTATTTTTAAATAAAAATTTATCTATTGTAAATTTTAAAACTTTTCTTTTGGTGTGGGATCCAGACCCTGTGGTTCTCAGGAGCTTTTCCTGGCTCTGTGCGCAGGGATCACTCCCAGTGGTGCTTAGGGAACCGCGTGGTTGCTGAGTAGGCAACATGCACCGGAAGTGTCTTATTCCCTGGACTGTTTCTCTGGCTCCTCTTGTGGTTTTTAAGAAGATTCCAGGGTCCAGAGTGTAGTACACTGGGTAGGGTGATGGACCCAGTGATGATCCCTGCCATCCCATATGGTCCCCCAAGCACTGCCAGGAGTATTTCCTGAGTGCAGAGCCAGAGGTAAACCCTGAGCATCTCCGGGTGTGACCCAAAAAGAAAAAAAATCATCATCAACAACAATAACAACAACAACAAAACCCTTAAAAAAGATTCCAGTTTATATACTGCAAACAAACAAACACTGTCCTCCCGTTGTACATCGATTTGCTCGAGCGGGCCCAGTAACGTCTCCATTTTTTGAGACTTGTTGTTACTGTGTTTGGCATATTGAATACGTCATGGGTAGCTTGCCAGGATTTGCCATGCGGGTGGGATACTCTCGGCAGCTTGCCTGGCTCTCCGAGAGGGGTGGAGGAATTGAACCCGGCTCTGCCGGGTTGGCTGCGCATAAGGCAAAAGCCCTACCGCTGTGCTATCGCTCCAGCCCAGTTTATATACATGATATTAAAATAATTATTAAAGTGAAAGAGCCTAGGAGGAAAAGCGGGAAATTTTTGATCCTTGCATAATTTTAAAAAGAAAAAAAAATTTGAGTTAGCTATAATTGAATTGAAAGGGAAGACAGTGGAGAACGTGCAACACTATTGCCACCTAGTGGGAAGGAGGGGACACTGCCACAGAGGCAGCGGGTACCCAGGTCTGGTCCCTCTGCTGGTCCAGGTCTAGCAAAGCGTTCTCCCATCAATGCCTTTCAGAGAGACCCAGACCAGAAGACGACTTTCACACCGCCTCAGAGTAAACAGGAAGCTGCCACGGTGTGCAGACACAGCATTTTGTGGCTCCACAGAACCATGCAGACTACTCAGAACACCTTCTGGGCCAAGTCACCCCAAGTCTCTGGTAAGGACTTCCCCTTGAGCTGTCTGGGTCACGGGATTAGCAACTGAACAGCCTTCTATTGCTTCTCTACGATGGCAACGATTTCACAAGGCAGGTGTTTGGTGAGCTTGTTTCACAGCAGAGCACAGAGAGCCAAACAAAGGCCCTTTCCTGAGAAGTGACAGGCAGATGGGAGGACAGCAGGGCCCACAACCATCAACCATCTTACGGGGGGCCCGGGGTCAGGGGTCTGGCTGACACAGTCATTGAAAGTCACTGGAGCGGATACTGGGGATGTCCCCACCCTGTACCCTGGGGTCCCACGGGAGCTGCTTGCTGCTGGTGGGGATCTGTCTCGGCCCACTGACAATTCGCTATCCCCCTTCCCCTCTTCCCTCTCAGGGGCTTCTCAGGCTCTATCCATGCAAATTGGGTTCTGTATGGAGTTAACGCCCACCCCCCAGGTCACTGTCCACCAATGAGAGAGGAGGGAGGTTGGGCACGGAGGATCCTGAGCCTGTTTACACCCCACCCCCCACCCCTCTTCGCTCTGTCCAAGGCTGCTCAGAGGGTCCGTAGAGGCCCAGTTGCCTTTACTGTTCCTTCTGAGGCCTTTCTCACATTCTAGTCTCAAGGTATAAGACGTTTCTACGGGAGATGTTTCTCCCGTAGAAACATCTTACACCCAACCCTCCCCCCGCACCCTTAAAGGGAGTGCCCAAGCAGTGCTCTGGGGTCTGGTGGTCCCCACCAGTGGTTTCTGCCAACCGGGCTTTGGTTTAGCACAAAGATGCGATGCTGCCTGGGCCCTGCGGTGCAGAGCTGCCCAGCAGCCCTGCACCCGGGATGCTTGGGGAGCAGAGCCTGCTCTGGGCAGAAGCACACAATCAAGGCAGGGGAGGGGTTCCGGTATTGTGGGAAATAAGACCCAAGGACGGGCAGGAAGAGGAAGTGGTTTCTCCAGGAGCACAGAAGGCCGGGATGATGGGAACGCACACACGGGAAGGCAGAGGCCACAGGACAAGAGCTTCCATTCTACGCTTCCAAATGTCACCATCCAAGGCCCCCTTCAGGGCACGGGGAACCTTCAGGGCACAGGCCACAGGCCACAGTGGTACTTGGGAATTGAGAAACTATTGTACGGAAAGACTGCATGGACTCTGCCCAGTTTAGTGCCCAGTCCTCAGAGAGCCTTGGTGGGGTGGGACTGGGGACTGAGCACAGCAGAACCGTGGGGGAGGCTGAGCCCAGCAGCATACTCTCAGAGAGCAGCAACGAACCTGCTTAGGGGGGCGCTGTTTGGCTTAAGTGGCAGAACACACGCCTTGCCGTGGGAGGCCCCAGCCCCCACACCCGGTATCGAGAGCACCCACTACAGTGTCCTGGGCCGCCCAACCACCAGCATCACCACCTAACTCTAATCTGCTGGGGGAAGGATGAACTAGCTGAACCTGTAAGCAAAGCAACCTGGCGCATGTAAGGGCAAGTGAGTGTGTGTGCGTGCTGTGTATGTGTGTGGTGTGTATGTGTATGTGTGTGTAACATGAGTGTGTATATTTGAGAGTGTGTGTGCTGTGTGTGTATGTGTATGTGTGTGTAACATGATGTGTGTATTTGAGAGTGTGTGTATGTAAGGGTGAGTGAGTGTGCACGTGTGAGTGTGTAACCTGGGTGTATATGTATTTGTGAGTGTATGTGTGTGAGTGTGTGTATGAGGGTCTGTAAGTGTGAGCATGTGGATGTGTGGATGTGTGAGTGTGCTTGAGAATGTATGTGTGTCTAAGAGTATGTGTGTGAGAGAATGCGTGCGTGTGTGTGTGAGTGTGTGAGGGATTGTGTGGGTGTGTGTGAGATAGTTGGTGTGTGTGTGTGAATGGGAATGCGTGTGAGTGTATTTGTGTGCCTGTGAGAGTGTGTATGGCTGTGTGTGTATGTGTGTGTTTGTACGTGTATGTGTGTGTGATAGTGCCCGTGTATAAATGAGTATGTGTTTGTGTGTGTGTTATATGTGCTTATGTGTGAGTGTGTTTGCACACACAGGTTTCATTACCTGATGTGATCTCAGCTCCTGGTCCTGGGCGTTGGGGGCCGAGAGTTCCTTGCTCAGCTCCTCAGAGCCCCCTCGGGCCCTCCTCCACCTCCTGGCCCTGCGGTCAGCTGCGTTGGGGGCCTCCTCAGGCTCGCTGCTGTCCGAGGTCTCCCTGCTGGCCGCCTGGGGGTTGAAGTTCACATCCAGCTCCGCCTGGAGTCGCATCTTCTGGACCGCGGGGCTCCTGGGGGGTTTCTTAGGTGCCCAGGACAGGCTGGCCCTGCCCCCTGTATCCCTGGAGGAGCCCGCCGACGAGGTCTCCGAGTCAGAGCACGTCGCCTCCAGGTTGGAGCAGAGCCCGGGTGAGGCGGTGGCGGCGGCGACGGCGGAGGCAGCTGGGGGGCCTTGGTCCAAGCCTGGGATCTGCGAGGGCTGGGGCCGGGGGCTTCTGCGCAGGCCCGAGGGCTGCGGGCACAGCGTGCTCAAGGCCTCGCTCCAGTCAAAGTCCTCCTCGCTGTCGGAGCCCATCTCGTCGTAGGCGGACGCAGTGCCTGATGCTGCTTCCAGGGCCTGGAGCGCAGCGCTCTTAGGCTTGGCCAGGAGGCGGCTGGAGGCCGGAGGGGCGTTCCGGAGGGCCACCCAGTTCCCATCAGGACTCTGCAGCAGCGGGGAGGGCCCTGGGGCAGGAGGGAAGGAAATTTCGGGGTTATCAGTGAGCCGGGGAGGTGACCGTTTGAGCCCTCCCCAGGGCTCTGCCCCCCTACAGGGCCAACAGACAGCTGGCCCAGATGGGGAAGGAATGTAGCCAGAAAGAAGCCCTGAGCACCTCTAGTGTGAACCCCCCCAAACCAAACATGTAAGTCCCCTGAGCTCTCACCAGGAGCGACCCCAAGCTCAGAGCTGGGAGCCGCCCCCAAGCACTGCATGATGTGGCCAATCCCAGATCTCTAGCCCTGAGCACGCACAAGGAAATTTCATGCTCTTGCAGAATCTCCTTCCAACTGACAGACACTAAAGGCTCTCTTGGAAACAATCACTTTTGGGAAAACGTTTTAGGAAGACTGAAAAATATTTAGTGTTGTTTTCTGATTCTTTGCACTTGGTAACAATGGAAGCTGTTTATGTTCTTAACTCTTAACTCTTTCCCTTCTGAGAGTAGAAATGACAGCAAAACCTTAAGGAGTCTACATCTGATACAGGCTATTTTTATGGATAATTTTTTGGTTTTGTTTGTTTTGTTTTGTTTTTGGCCCAGACCCAGCAATGCTCTGGGCTTACTCCTATCTCTGCACTCATAAATTACTCCTGGTGGTGCTTAGGGCTGGAGCGATAGCACAGCGGGTAGGGCGTTTGCCTTGCATGCGGCCGACCTGGATTCAATTCCTCCGTCCCCCTCAGAGAGCCTGGCAAGCTCCCCGTGGCGTATTCAATGTGCCAAAAACAAGTCTCAACAGTAACAATGAGTCTCGCAATGGATATGCTACTGGTGCCTGCTAGAGCAAATCAATGAACAACGGGAGGTCAGTGCTACAGACAGACAGTGCTATGGTGCTCAGGGAACCATATGGGATGCTGGGGATCAAAACAGGGTTGGCCGTGTGCAAGGCATACACCCTGTACACTGTACTATTACTCTAGCCCCTAGTCATCTTTCTTGATTAGGGAAATGGGTCTAGATGGTGCCATGGATTGAAAATGCTATTAGCATTAGGGCTGTGTGCCTGCCTCCATGGTCATTGTGTCCCGGGGAACCCAGGTGTGAGAAGGTGAAGAAGGGAGCAGAACTGGGCATCCTTGCCCAGGGAAGCTTCCTGGGCCTTGGCCGCTGCCCTCCCTGAGTGCCAGCCTTGCCCAGTCTTCTGATGTGACTCCCAGAAGGCAGTTCCACCCACCTGAGCTTCTTACTCTGGGACATCACTTGACCCAGAGCTCTATAGTGTAGCTTGAGTCACAGGTATTGAGGCTTGGGAGAGGCATTTGATCACTGGTGTAGAGGTGGAAAGTTCTAGATTCTGGCTGAAGGAGCAGGAAGCTTGCCCCTCCAAGGGCAGAGGATGCTGTTGGGCTGTGTTGGTCCTGCCAGGAGGACCCTTTCCTGGCCCCCTGCATGCAGCTGGGGCCGTGCATGGTGGTGGGTGCGCGTGGCGTGGTGGACAGGGCCCTGGAGGTCTCCAGGCACTTCTCCCCCACCTCCAGACCCAGAAGCAGACTCAGAGGCCCCAGAGACTGGCAGATCCACGAGGAAAAGAGCATTGCTCCCCCTCATCCGTGCCAGCCAGAGCATAGCTGCCCAGCACCCATAAAATAAGCAGGCTAGGGTGGGGTCATGTACACTGTCCAGTGCTTAGGGGTCTCTTAGAACACACACTAGGGTAGAGTGGACACAGGGAGAGCCAGAGGAGGCCAGGGAGGGCCTGAGAGGTTGGACTGGGTGTCCAGGCCTGCCCAGCGGCTTCATAGGGCTTATGGTTAGAGCACCTGTGAAAATGTCACCCTCCTCTGTCAGGGGCCAGCCCAGAGGCCGCGAGGCCACCACACGTCCCACTGGAAGCCCCCTGCCCCCCCGATGCTGCTCTGAGCTTACCTGTGTCGTCCAGCCGGTCGATGCTCATCCAGCTGCCCCTGGCCCTGTCCTCCCGCGGGGGCAGGCATGCACCTTCCAGTGACCAGGCCTGCTGGGCCTCTTCTCCCGGGAAAGAGAAGAGGGGCTGGGATTGCTGCGGAAGAAGAGGGGCCGGGGTGAGGTCACAGGGGTCAGTTGTGGGGCGGTGTTGGGGTCAAAGCTTCTGAACTGCAGAAGGTGGGAGGAGGCCTGGCTTTGACCTGCCCCTGGTATGAGGAGTGAAGTGGGGGTGATGGTTTCCTGGGGTCCACCTGCCAGCTGGCTGGGTCTCCTCTAAAGTCTGAGAGATGCTGTGGGCGCCCGCCAGAGCCAGCTCCCCAGGCCTCCCGAACCAATCCCTCCCCCCACCACACACACACACACCAGTGGCCCCATGGGAAGCATTTTCCTCTTGGGACCACTAGACTAGCAGACGGCTGAGTTCCAGTCCAGTGTGATGGCTCTGCAGGGCTCACAGCCTGGGTGTTCCGTCCACATCCCCGCATAGGGCACCAGATTCCCACCTGGTTCCCAGAATCAGGAGAGGAAAAGGAGCTAGAGACGCATGGTTCCAGGTTTATTTGGCTGACTACCCCTTCTCAGGTAGAAAAAAAAAATCAATCAGCGTTCCCTAGTAATCTGCCTTTTTCAGTAATCTGCCTTTTTCAGGTGGACAGAGAGCGTCCCTGCATTCATCGGAGTTTGCAGGGCTGTTCTGGCACCTCTGGGTGTGTGTGTGGGGTGGGTGGGTGGGGTGGGGTGGGATGGGGGACTGCCCTTGTTGGTAGATGGGGCTTCATCTGACGAACGAGACAGGCTGGAATTGTCTCCTAGGCATTCCACAGCTCTAACCTATGATGCATGGAATTTCATCAAGCGGAAAGAGACCGATGTCTTCCGGATTTTTTCTCTACGGAACTCATCTTGTGTGGCTGATGATTTTGCTCTTTTGATTTTGGTGGATGAAAGAGGCCGGGGGTAGAGCTCAAGGGAGATGGCAGTGGCTTTTACAGTAAGAAACTCCCAGTCTCTAATTCGGGCTCACTGAACTCACTGTCTCCACCTGCTGGCAGAGATGCCAGCCTACAGCCCCCCCACTGTGACAGGGGAGCTCTTCCAGGTGTGTGTGTGTGTGTGTGTGTGTGTGTGTGTGTGTGTGTGTGTGTGTGTGTGTGGAGTGGCCTCCTGGGGAGGGAATGAAAGCTCTGTCCTCTTTTCCTATACTTAGCTCCGGTTACATCTTTTTGTTTTGTTTTGTCTTTGGGTCACACCCAACAATGCTTAGGAATAACTCCTGGCTCTGCACTCAGGAAATGGTGCTTGAGGGACCAATATGGGATGCCAGGAATCAAACCCAGGTTGGCCCACATGCAAGGCAAATGACCCGCTCACAGTACTATTGCTCCGACCCCAAGTTGCATCATTTTATACTACACTAGCAATTAAGGAAGTAGAAATAAAAAGAGAAAAGAACTTTACAACGGTGCTGTGGGACGCACCGCACTGGTAGAGTGGCTAGAGCTGGGGCTCAGCTGTTCTCTGGTTCCGAGGCCATCTCAGCTGCAGCCCCTGGGCCAAGTAACTTTTCTTGTGAGATGAGGAAACCAGGTTGCTCCTCCCACACCCAGGAACTGTGACATAAAGTTTGAGAGAAACTCAGGAGAACAGCAAACACCAGCAGCAGGATATCTGGGTGATAGGACGGGCTTCGCGGAGCTAGGAATCTGGGGAGAGGATGAGGATGCAGTAGCCGTGCCCCGAGAAAAGATCATTCAGAGGGAGAAGGACAGACATAAAATGATTGCACTCATTTACAGGATATATATATATATATATATATATATATATATGTATATATATATATATATATATATATATCTCAGCATGAGACTAGAACTAGGAGAGTAGAAAACGAGGATGAGGAGGACTGGTCCATGGTTGAAAGCTCGCCCCCAGTGGGGTGGGGGGGCAGGCAGTTAGGACAGTGAAGGGACCACTAAGATAATGTTAGTTGAAAATGATCATTCTGGACAAGAACTGAGTGCAGAAAGGAGGTAACGGGATATACATGAGAAACTTTCAGTACCTGTACTGTAAACCATAAAGTACAAAAGGGGGGAGGGAGGAGAGAGAGACAGAGACAGAGACAGAGACAGAGAGAGACAGAGAGACAGAGAGACAGAGAGAGGTGCCTGCCATAGAGGCAGTTTGATGGAGGGAAACTGAAACATTGTGGGTGGGGAATGTACACTGGTGAAGGGTGTTGGAACATTCACACAAATCTCAAATCATCCTGTTATTCGTCGATTGCCTCGAGCAGGCCCCAGTAACATCTCCTTCATCCTAGCCCTGAGATTATATTCAAGGCTCTTTAGGAGAATGAGACCCATCATTGTTACTGGTACTTGGCATATTGGGTACGCCACAGGGAGTTTGCCAGACTCTGCCCTGTGGGGGACAACATTCAGAAACCTGCTAGTTTGTCCAAAGTAGGAATGAGATAATAAGATGTTATAATAAGTTGTTCCGGGAGCTGGTTTTTATAGTCATGTACACTGGTGAAGGGTGTTGGAACATTATCTGACTGAAACCCAATCATGAGCAAGTTTGTAACTGTGTATGTCATGGTGATTCAATAGAAAGAATTTTTTTCAATAATTTTATTTATTTACTTATTTATTTTCTTTTTTGGGTCACACCCGGCGATGCACAGGGGTTACACCTGGCTCTGCACTCAGGAATTACTCCTGGCGGTGCTCAGGGGACCATATGGGATGCTGGGAATCGAACCCGGGTCGGCCACGTGCAAGGCAAATGCCCTACCTGCTGTGCTATCTCTCCAGCCCCCTAGAAAGAAAATTTTTAAAAATTCTTTTAAAAAGGAAAGATCGCTAAGGACCGAGGGCACCACTCCTACCAGCATGGGATTTGCCTGCGGGAGAATCCAGCGTAGAACTCCCCGCCAACCCCCCACAATCCCATCAAGCTGGGCGTATTCCTGCGCACCAGCAGGTGTGACCCCAAAACTATAATTAAAAAGTGTAGCAAAACCCCTTTCCCCACTTGCTATTAGGAGAAAGATGAGTTTGCAAAACCCAATCTGGACCTTTACAGCTGCATATCAGGCTCTCAGCTCAGCCAGTGCTGGATCTCAGCTTACCCCCTCCCAGCGACCGAGTACAGACCAGTTCATAAAGGGCCACAGGCTGACTGTCGGAGGTCAGGGAAGGTCAGGTCAGAGCCCAGGAGGAATGAGCTCTCCCTTAGGAGAGCAACCAGCTTCCGTGCATCAGCTCAAACAGGCCATGGCTGTGTGTTCCCTAGTCCCAAGCTGGCTGGGGGTCCTGGGCTTCCTTGGGTTTTGCCCCACTCGACTGTCAACATGCTACTGGGTTTTCTGTTTGTTTTTGAGCACACCATCTTGTGTGCAGGGATTACTCCTGGCTCTGTGCTCTGGAATCACTCCTTGTAGGGCTCAGAGGAGTTTGTGTGGTTCTGGGGATCGAACCTGGGTCAGCCATGTGCAAGGCAAGTGCCTGACACATTGTAGTATCTCTGCAGCTCCCACATTTCACTGTCTCATTTTTGTCGTGTGTCCCTACCAGACTGCAAACAACAAGGAAGCTGAAGGTCTGTAACGTGATAGGACCAGCTCCTAGCATTGCTATAGAACACCAAAGAATGTCTGTTGTGGAATGAAAATGAGATTGGGTGTGGTTCTGAGGTACCTGACTTTTTTTGGTTGTATATTACTCTCTTGGATAAAGTTGGAAAACGAGAGAAAGAAATAGGAAGCAACCCCCGGAGTCATACTGGGTTGGAGGCCACGTACACACACACATACACACACACACACACACACACGCACACACGTGTCGAGGTCAAGTGACCGTTCATCCAGGTACCACACCCATCACTCTGCGGGGCACAGCTCTAATTCTAGGATCCTGAGTGGTTCTGAAGCAGAACAGGGCCCAGGCTTGTGGGAGTGGGCATTCAGAAGCTTGCCGTGTGCTGACTAATTCCTAGACTGACAATCAGAGACTTCAGAGATGGTGCTGCTGGCCCAGGGGCCAGAGAAGTGAATAAAAATGAAGCAAAAAATTCTTTTATAGAGGATACCAGCAGTGGGGTGTGGGGTGGGGTGGGGGTGGGCCCATTCACAGCACAGCTTGACCTAGGTCCAGCGGGTGGTGCTGGGGGCCACGATGCTGCCCCCTCATTGGGCAGTCTCAGCTCGTGTCCTAACACTTGAGCCGTCTGCCTGACCCCAAAGCGTCTTCGCTGCTTTTCCTTACGTCCTAACGTGTCCACTTCCCTCCAGACTGAGCTCTAGAAGGCAAAGTGATCTCTCGGGTCACATTCTGGGTCTCATGTTTATGGTCCAATTTGTAGGATTAGAACCTAAGCGTGCCCTTAAGGAGCCGGTGGGCAGCTGGCACAGTCTGAGCGCAGCCTCACGTGAGCTGTTTTCTCTGCATCACCCAATCTGTCTGTAGACTAACAAGCTTCTCCCTGTAAAGCACCGAAATATGTTCCCAAAGAGGGAAAATATTTAATCTCTCTTTCGGCACTGGCCCAAATGGGATTTGATGTGTGCACAGAGCTGCCCATCAGAGGTTTGTGAGGTCAAGTCAATGGGATACAAGTGCTCACCGTGTCTATAAAAGCCAGAACCTAGAAATGAAAAGTCCCTTACAGGACCAAACCGGTAAGACAATCTCGTGTTTTTCATGAGCGTCCACAACACCCGGTTTTCATCTCTTATTTCAGGCATTTTAGAGTCTCTTTCAATCCCTGTTTCATTCTCTAGAATAAACTTCGTTGACAATCACAAACGGTCCCCGAGAAACATTCAACGGGTCTCCGGACTCTTAACTGCTATGCTCTAGAATTTCTGTCCGGGGAAGGCTGCAAAAGCCCCAGTTCCGGGACTAACAGGCTGCAACGAGCACACAGTCCAGCAGATGGCGTCACAAGAAAGTGTTTACTAGCACACATTCAACCCCTGGGTTCCTGGAAAGTGATTGAATTACTTGAACGATTTTTTTCACCCTCACTTACGGTGGCTTTTCCCTGTGTCCACCCTTTCACTCCCATGCACAGTTTCCTTTATCATCCCTCCCTCTGACCCAACCCCAGGGTGCATACAAAGAGCAGAACTAGTGACATCAGGGAGAGTTACACTTTCTGTCCATGAATGCCCAGGGCCCTGGGGAGGATGGCGGAGTTCCTGGGTCCAGGGAGCTCGCATGCTAGCAAAGTCTTGCCAAGATGGACGCAAGCAGTTCGGATTTCCAACAGCCCCCTCTCCAAGTGCTGAGGGGTGAGGGGCTGACTCAGAAGTGGGCGAATGCCTGAATCATGAGGGACCTTGGCACGAGGGGGGTGGTGGGTGTGTGCTCAATCTCAGTCTTGCTCACCTGTGCCAAGGCCAGTTGCTCGATAAGTATCCGTCCAAATAGGAGCAAGTATTAAGCTCCACCAGGGAGTCATGCAATGTCCCCAATTGTTCTCATCCAACCGGAATGATGTGGGAGTCAAGTGAAGTCAGGTTGACGTGTTTGCCCAGCAAATGAGTGGTCAGGGGGGCAATGACCTGTGAGTACGGTTAGCCTGGACCCCCATCACTGCTCGCTCAGGCCTCTTGGGGGCCCGTCTCTGACCTCTGGAGAACATTACCTCCTGTTGAACCTCTCCAGCCTAACTGGACCCCACCACTCACACCAGCTGGCTCTGAAGTTTAGGGGGAAAACAGGCAGGCAATCATTCCTTCCTTCATAGCTGCTACATCCCTGCATGCCATGCATCTCTATAGGAAGGGGGCATGGGAGCACCGATTGCTCCAGCGAGCCTTCTTGCCAGCAGGGCAGGCTCTCTGACGCATGCAACACAGCTTCCAGATAATCTCGACTATCCAGGAGCCCACCTAGAAGCCAGGAAAAGAGGGTATTCCTTACCCAGGGCAGAGAGGCAGAGGAATCAAGAAGAGGGTCTCCTGGGGGTTGAACACGGAGACCACGCTCGGCGTTTGTAGCTGTAGGGCCAAGCGTAGCCAATAGAGAGGCTTTAGCTACTAGACTGATGTCATTCAAGACAGCGAATGTGAGAGAATGATGGTGTGTGTGTGTGTGTGTGTGTGTGTGTGTGTGTGTGTGTGTGTGTAAGGGAGAGGCAAACAGAAGAGATGCAGGGACTCAGACAGACGTGGCTGAGTCACCCGGTGCAGTATCTGCCTGGCCCATGCTGGCATCCTCCTGATTATCTTATTACGAAGCCGCTATTTTGCAAACACCAACCCCCACCCACCCCGCCCAAAGGGACAGGCTTTCAAGGACCCCTGCGCAGGGGCCTTTGAGGAGATGACATCTTCAGGCAGAGACCCACACAATAGGGAGGAAATTAAAGGGAGAACAATTCCCCTGCACTTTCTTTCAAGAGAGCAGACGAGAAAGGCTGTTTTGAATGGGAACGGGCTGAGTTTGGGTTTCGCAACAAAGCCCAAGTAGCTGTCTGCAGCAAGGGGCTCCTGTGTCCTATTCCCCGAGTCCCCCGTGTCTCTGGGGAAGGGAGGAAGTGATGCCAGAGGCAGAGTGGGGGGCTGCGAGCACAGGCCTTGGGTTACCTCTGCAGTGTGCAGGCGAAGGCGCTTCCTCCACGGGGAGGACAGCAGTGTGTGGGATGCCCTCAGAGCATTTGGTCTGTCCGCAGATGCTCGGGTTCTAGTCTGCATCTGGTAGACCTGTGGGGTGGAGCTTGAGCAGGGGATTGGGATGTGCGTGCGCGCGCGCGTGTGTGTGTGCATGTGCATGTGTGCATGTCTGCATGTGTGTGTGCGCTTGTATGTGCATCTCTGCGTGAGTGCATGTGAGTGTGTGTGCATTTGTGTACGCACGTGTGTGCATGTGTATGTGCGTCTCTGCGTGAGTGTATGTGAATGTGTGTGCGTGTGTGTATGTGTGTGCGCGTGTGTTTGTGTGTGCATGTATGTGCATGTGTGTGCGCGTGCGCGTGTGCATGTGTGTGTGTGCGTGTGTGTGTGTGTGTGAGCTAGGATGAGAATGGCTGCAGGGAGGTGGGAGATCTCCCTCAGCTCCAAGTTTTCCCTCCGGACTGCCCCATACGGCACCTGATCAATATCCGATCTATTTTCCTGCTCTTTGTTTGCCATGCCCTCCTCTAAACCCGGAGAGCAGCGAGAATGACAGAATTTTCCAGAATGATAGAAATGCTCTATCTAATGCATAGTGACCAGGGTTGACTGAGCACTTGAAACGTGGTCAATGTAATGCTAGAGAACCGGCCTTTTCATTTTTATCTTCCTGTGACGTATTCAATATGCCAAACACAGTAACAAGTTTCAAAATGGAGACGTTACTGGGCCCGCTCGACCAAATCGATGAACAATGGGAGGACAGTGCTACAGTGATTAACGGAAAGAGAACTGGCCACTGTGTCTTGGGCACATGGGGTGGAACAGCATGGCTCCACACACTCTGTCAGGGACTGCAGAGATTACAGAATGGACCCAGGTCATCTCCTGAAAGCAGCAGCTACATCGAGCTGCTCTTCTTCTTTTTGTTTTTTGCTTTTTGGGTCACACCTGGTGATGCACAGGGGTTACTTCTGGCTCATGCACTCAGGAATTACTCCTGGTGGTGCTCTGGGGACCATATGGGATGCTAGGAATCAAACCTGACTTGCATGTCGGCTGCATGCAAGACAAACACCGTACCCACTGCACTATTGCTCCAACCCCTACATTGAGCTTTTAAAAGTTTTTAATGAAAACAAAACCCAACAACTTGGGGTTCATATCCAACCGTGTTCAGGGTTCATTCCTGGAGGGACTTGGGGGACCATATGTGGTGTCAGGATCGAACCTGCATTGGCCACATGCCAGGAAGGCTCCCTGCCCACTGCACTCTCTCTCCAGCCCCCTAGATCCAGGGCTACAGGGCTGGGGAAAAGGTCTCCTCTGCTCCTCCTCCCTGCATAGCTGCAAGCCTTTCTCATCTGTTCTCTTGTGTGCAGTCAAAGCTCTAGTCTCAGTTTCCTCACTGTAAGACTGGCCAAGAGTCCTTGTGTCCCCACCTTGAGCTGGAGAGTCAAAAGAATAGCACGTGCTGGGCACTGTGGCCCATAGCTGCTCCCGTGCTTCTCTGGGAGCCTCAGAGGCAGCCCAAAGGCCCAGTTCTGTGTCCTTTGTGCCCTGCACCTCCCTGCATGCTGCTGGGGCTACTCAAACAGCAAAGCATTGTACAGGCTGGGGTAGGGACTCCCTGCAGTCCTAGAAAGGAACCCCGCACTCTGCTGCCTTCCTCTCCTTGGACACAGGGCTGACCCACACCCCTATGTCCTGTCTACGTTCGACCACTTGGTGGCGCTGTAACGTGCCATTCAGCGTATACTTCGCTGTTAACTGCAAAACTGCCAGGCCCCCTGACTGCAGGGAAAACGACCTTGCCCCACTTCCCTTGATGCAACCGTGATGATAATTCCTTGTCTTAGGATGCCTTTGCTCCACTGTTTGCTCCACGTCATTGCTGTAGGGGATGCCATGATGTAAGCGCCCCCCTCGCCCCACTTTGCTAACGCATAATACTGAGCATGCACCGAAAGTTTGCAGAAATGAGTTTGCAGAAATGCCCTGGAAAAAGGGCACTTGTGAGAGACCTCCCCCTGTTCCCTGCCAACGTTCCCAGACACTCTTCCTCTCTGGACTCGACCCACTGGTGAACAAAACCTCCTTATTTCCAAGCCTCTGTCTGGGTGTTCCTAGTTAAGTAGACTCCTGGCATCCAGTAGTGGGACCCCGGATGAACACCTCTCCATTTCAGTGAAGCCAGGGAGCGAGGTTGCAAGCACACACTGACCCTTAGTCAGTGACCCTTCGTCACTGGACTCACGGTGACTCTTTTCAGGATGAATTTGTAAAATTGCCTGTAAGGGTGCCGGGGGCAAGGAGGGAGGGCAGGGCGGGTTACAACAGTACTAAGCGCTTGTGTGCATGCTTGACCGCCAACACGCAGGCCTCCCAAACACCACTGGAAGTAGCCTTGGTGACCCCTAAGCACTGCAGAGAGCGCCACTGCGGTGGGCCCCCACCCCCACCCCAATGCCTATAGCCGTCCATCTGCATTTTTCCTAAAAAAATGTCCATATTCTTCACAGTTGAGTTGATCTGCTTTCCAGCCCCAGGTTCAAGGATGGTGTCTCCCACCTAAGGACAGCAACTGTGTGACAGCTCTGTCCAGGCACGACGGGGACTCACCCAGAGGGAGGTGGATGCATGGTGGCCTCCCACAGCGGTGGAGCTCCCCTCGGCTGCCCCCTGGGCGCTGCAGCTCGGGGCTTCTGACCACTCGGGCTCCTCACCGGCCAGCTGCTCACTCTTGCTCTTCTGTTTTCTGATGATCTGGAGAGAAGAAGGGGAACGCCAGGGCTAAGTGGCCGGGAGGCCTCTGGAGTAATTTGGCGTCATCTTTGATTTTTTCTTTCTTTTTATTTTGTCATAAAAACACTTTGTTTTGACAGAGCCCACCAGCCTGCTTTGATCCGCTTCATGACAGATTCTAGCCTAGAACACTTCACAGCCCTGTATGGTTCACAGATGATGATGCACACAGCTTCTAGTGCTTTTTGTGCCAACCATGGGCTGGCCTCTGGGCTTGGACCCCACATATCTGGCCTGGGTAGACTTCTGCACTCTCATGCTCTATCCTCAAAGATGAGAGACGGGCACAGAGAGGTAAAGCTATAAAGTGAGGACACACAGCTCCTGAGGAATGGAGCTTCAGGCGGTAAACCCCTGGTTTAGGAAGCATCTGGAAGAGTCCTCGGGGATGATTTCAGCTCATTGACACCCCACACTAGGCTGAGCACAGCCGGTTGGACTTAATGAGTCTATTTGTATAAAGGTCTCTGGGCTCCCGGCTTCCAGCAGGCACGGACATAGCTGAGAAAATGCAGAGGCACCAAACGGGCACGCTGCCTCATGCCTCTTAGGCAGCACAGGAAGACGGGGCCTGGGGCTAGGAAGACAAAGAACTGAGCTCAGTACCTGGTGGCAGGGCAGGGCCAGATGGAGGCCCGTCCCCACTGCCACAGACCCATGGGGTTTCAAGATTGTCGCAGCTCCCCTGGCAGCCCCCTCTGCCATCCCAGCCCCATCCCAGCATTGGGCATTGGATATGTGTGTGTGGGGGGGAGGGGGCAAAGGGCACCGGATTCTCGAGTCCCAGCTATCCTGGGATGGAGCTGAATCTGGATGGACTGTTCACTGAACTGGGATTGGATGAGACATTTGGGGGGCTGAAGTGGAGAAGGGACATGAATGGTTGTGACCAAAAGGGGAAGATGAATCATTCAACACTCATCCTATGACCCTTTGTCACATGACTCTGCAGCCCAGTCCAGGCCACCCCCCGCCACCCCGCCGTGCAGCTCAGGTACCCTCCATTGGGCCCACAGGAAGCAGAACATTAGGACATGACTGTGGCCTGCAGCTTGCGATGGAGTCACAGCAGAGACCTGAGAAAGAGAGAGAAACTCTGGGATGATTAAATTTTTTTTTTAAAAAAGGAGATTTTGGCCTTTGATTCTGGTTCCTGACACAGAGCTGCAAATCTTTGGAACTGCAGGTGGGAGAGTAGAAAATTTGTGATGCTCAAGAGAGAAGAGGGGACGAAGGCCAGTGAACAGAAAAAGCCAACTACTGGAAGGTCAGAAGTCTACGCGGTGTGCTCAGTCACACAGGAGGTCAGGTTGAGAGGTCAGTAACCCAACCAACCATGACCACCTCAGCGAGACATGGAAGAATCCACAGAACAAGGAGACTTTGGGGAGAGCAGCACAGCTAGGGTGCACATGCATATGCAGACAAAGGGGGGTGGGCACAGAGGGGCTGGGGGGCTCTGTGTGCACTTTCCACGTGCCTCATGCTCCCACGTCTCTTCTGACTATTCACTTGTATCCTTCAATTCACTCACTGTGAGAACTGAGCTTTTGGGGAGACTAGAAAGTTCCTTAGGGGATGCCAGAATCAGTGGATGTTTGGAGAGAGAAGTAGTGTTGTGGGGGTACCTGAGACCTGCTTCTGCCATCGGACTAGGGGGTTGTCTGTGGGACTGAGCCTCCTGACTTCTCAATGCTGGCTCTGTGTAATTGGGGTCAGAACTGAAGTGGATTGTAAGATCCACAGTAGGGTTTGGTGAAGTTCTTGTTGACTAAAACGGGGGGCTAGTTTCTTGGTAGTGATGAGCTGACACACCTGGCCAGGGGCTGCTCAGGGCATGGAGGGCATTTCCTAAGCTTCTTCAGTGACAGACTACTTGGGAACTGTGAGGGGAAGAAACATGTTCTCTTGCTCTGTCAGTCAGTCAGTCAGTCAGTCAGTCAGTCAGTCAGTCTGTCTCCTCTCCCACCTCCACCCCCAATCTCTCTCTCTGTCTTTCACTCTCTCTCTGTCTCTCTCCGCCCCCCTCTCTTTAACAATGGTGGCCACACGTTCTCTCCAGCTCCCCAAGGCCCCGGCCCTGACAGGGCAGGTGCTCGGCGGCTTCTGGAGGCCAGAGTCCACCTACCTTTTGCAGGATGGTTGTGGCCAGCTCCTCAGTGAGCTCCTCCTTGTGGTCCCGCAGGTAACTGGCCTCGTTCTGCTTGTCCTGCAATGGGAGGGCAGAGTAGGCTGAGCGTGGGCTGAGTTGGCACTTCTGGTGTGTGTGTGTGTGGGGGGGGCATCTGTATTCTCTTTCCTGGACTTCCAGACCAGAGAGGCCTAGGTAAGTGGACGTCCTCCAGGTTTCCTGTGCACTTTCTGTCCCCAGACCCTGCGCTGTCCCCTGGTGACCAGGACCCTGGCAGGAGAGGGAATGTCCTACCAGGCTGTCCCCACAGGCTTCTGCTTTGGAAATGGCCTCCTCGATGGCCTCTTCTGCCACCCGCAAGGCGACAGCCAAAGTGTCCATCATGCTATGTCCTGGGCAGGAGAGAGAACAGAGAGCACTGTCTGAGAGAGAGCAGTGAGCCAATGGTCTCCAGGTGAGATCTCTCTAAAGCAGGCATGCAAGCCCCTGCCCCTCTGCTCCAAGAACACACTTTATGTGATTCTCTGAGAGCTGCCAGATCCCCTGTCATGACTCCAGCCACTTGGTTCGCTGCTTCTAAACTGAGCTGGTTTCTGGGAACCCCCAAGGACGTCTCCTTTGAAAAGTCTTCTCAAATTTCCACCCTCCCATCGCTTCTGGTCTGGATGACCTTCTGGGTCTGGGTTTGCTTTGACAAGTGCTGAAGAGGCTCCATTCCTCAGGACCCCTCAGAGTGTTCTCAGAGAGCAAAACTGGACCACACCCACCATTGTATCTCCTCACTAACCAGCACCCCATACCCCAAGTGGCTTAAAGATCACTGAGTAAAAGGACTTTGTGCAAAGAAATGGCAGTTCCACGGTGCCCTTCTCAGAGAAAGATTGCTTTACTTTGTGCATATCGATGAGAACAAATGTTCTAAAGGCATGGGCTATGCCTATGGTTTAATGTAAATAAAAAATACTTGAAAGAATTTGTTGTTGATTTTTTTTGGAGGGCCACACCTGGTACCCAGGGATCATTCCTGGTGGGCTCAGGCGACCATATGGGATGCCAGGGGTTGGGTTGGCTGCATGCAAGGCTAGTGTCTTACCGTATTACCATCTCTCTGGCCCCCTTTGGAAGAATTTTTTTAGACTCTAAATCAGAAGAGCCTGGCAAGCTATCCATTGTGTATTCGATATGCCAAAACCAGTAACTACAACTGGTCTCATTCACCTGACACTGAAGGCTTCACCGACATGGCAGCACTGAGAAGGATGAGAAAGGAGAGGCCGGCAAAATCTCAAGGCCAAACTAGGCTGCCACAACGAAGGAAGACAACCCGAATCGGACGTTTACATTTGAATAGATGTGGCTCACTGCCTGCAGTTTCTATCTTCGTTGTCTACGCACCAACATCTCATTATGATGAAAGAGAAATCGAGAAGTCCTACATGGAGCTAGAGAAGTTCTATAAAGAAGACCACACCTTCTACAAGATCATTGTGGGTGATTTTAATGCCAAGATAGGACTGAGAAGATCAGCTGAAGAACTTCACATCGGGACCCAGGGCCTAGAATGGAACGAACAGGGTGAGAGACTGTCTGAGTTCATCATGTCGACCAAGACCATCCATGGTAACTCACAGTTCCAGAAGGCAGAATCTAAATGATGGACATGGGAGTCTCCTGGTGGACGATTCCACAACGAAATAGACCACATCATATTCAATCGACGGTTTTGCCTGACCGATGCCACTGTTGTCCCAAAATTTTGAACGGGATCGGACCACCGTCTCCTTCGTGCAAAATTCTACTTCACAGAGCGGGGAGAAAGGGCTGCAAAGTTCAAAAAGAGAACTCCCAGAATGACCACCAACTGGGAACTCTTTGGCACTATTGCGGCAACATGGGAAGATGCCATTGTTGACAACATTGACGAGGAATACGATCGACTGGTTCAGCACCTCCATGAATGTGCGAGGAATGCCAAGAGAGAGCCACAAAAAATCGCCTATCTTCGAAAACTCTTGAGCTAATTCGCCAGCGTGGTTTGGCGCATGCCTCAGGCAACCACAAGCTAATGTCTGAGCTCGCAAAGCAGTGCAGAGATGCGATCAAGGAAGACCTCAAAGAGAGAAGAGCAGAAGTGCTGGTAGATGCGGCAGAAGCCGGGAAAAGTATTCGTAATGCCAGCCTGTCCTTCGCCAACTACAAGACCAAGATGACTGCCCTCTGACGTCCTGATAGATCCATCACATCCTCCAGAACGGCAATGGAGAAGATTATCCATGATTTCTACTCAAATCTCTTCGATAGCCATGTCCACTTGCCCACATACCAAAATCCACAGGATGGATATGCCGTTCCCAACATTCTCCCTTCCGAAATCCGACACGCCATTTCATTGGTAAAGAAACGAACAGCACCCGGCCCAGACAAGGTCAGACCTGAACACCTGAAGAACCTGCCCTCAGTACTCATCAATACACTGGCTCGGCTCTTCACTCGCTACCTGTCTGAATGCAAGCTTCCGTCCCAGTGGAAAACCAGCAGGACCGTACAAGGACCGTTCAAGAAGGGAGACATCCATGACATTGGCAACTATCGCCCGATCTGCCTATTGTCTGTCATCTACAAGTTGTTCACTTGAGTCATCCTAAATAGGATTGGCAGAACACTAGATGAAGGACAACCATGCGAGCAAGCCGGGTTCCGCAAAGGATTCAGCACCATCGACCATATCCACACGATAACCAAGCTCATTGAGGTTTCTTGGGAGTTCAAGATGCCGCTCTGTTTAACGTTCATTGATTTAAAGAAGGCCTTTGATTCTGTTGAGATGGAAGCGGTCATTGAAGCCCTAGCCAATCAGGGCATTCAAGCCCAATACATCAGGATCCTCTGTGAGCTGTATTGTGGATTCACTACCAGGATCTCACCATTCTACAAAGAAGTGATCGTTGATGTCAAGAGAGGGGTGCGGCAGGGTGATACCATTTCACCGAAACTCTTCAGTGCCACCCTCGAGAACATCATGCGACGACTGGGATGGGAAGGAATGGGAGTGAAGATAGATGGTCGGCAACTACACCACCTCCGCTTTGCTGATGACATTGTTTTAATAACACCAAACATCAGCCAAACAGCACAAATGCTGGCCGACTTTGACCATGAGTGTGGAAAGGTAGGACTACAGCTGAATCTTACGAAGACAATGTTTATGAGAAACAGCCTTGTTCCTGATGCCCCATTTGCTCTCAACGGAACGACCATCTCCGAATGCAACAGCTATGTGTACCTAGGTCGAGAGGTCAACATGACAAATGACCTGGCACCCGAGCTGCACGGGAGGAAGAGAGCGGCTTGCAACGCCTTCAAGAATGTCGAAGAAATAGCTAAGAGGACGAAGAACCTCTGGCTCCGGGCACATCTCTTTGATTCCACTGTTCTTCCTGCATTAACATATGCCTCAGAGACCTGGGCCCTACACAAACAAGATGAGAACACTATTCAGGTCTCCCAAAGAAGAATAGAAAGAGCTATGCTTGGAATATCACGTTTCACTCAAATGAGAGAAAGAATCCGGAGTTCTGACATCCGTCGACGATCAAGAATCAGGGACGCTGTCTCATTTGCCAAGGTGTCGAAAATCAGATGGGCTGGTCACGTAATGAGATTTAAAGACGACCGCTGGACTAGAGCTGTTACCGACTGGATTCCACGGGATGTCAAAAGACCGCGTGGTCGCCCACCTTCCAGATGGTCAGACTTCTTCATCAAGATCATGAACGATCGGTTTGAGGCCCTTCATGTTCCCAGAGCGAACAGATGCCCTTGGGCTACACTAGCACGCGACAGGGACAAATGGAGACGTTACTGGCGCCCGCTCGAGCAAATCTACGACTAACGGGAAGTTAAGTGATTAAGTGATTAAGAAATCAGAAATAGCCATCAGAGCAGCACTGGTCAGTTACACCAAGCTCGACCCCATGGTGGTTCCCAGCTTGAGGGTCACACCCACCATCGTGGTAGAGTCTTACTGCACAGCTACCCACTCAGCAAGGACCCCTAAAAAGATGGGAGTACTGGAGCACAGAGAGGCAGGGGTACCTTGCTCAGCGTCATATTGTGAGAGAGTAAGAGACTATGAGAGCTGATGCCTGAATTTTAGGGCTCTTATCTCCAAAGCCCATGATGTTAATGAGAAAAGTGAAATAATACAGGTATCAGTGAGTTAAACAAATAATGCTATCATCAAATGTGACGTTTTCTCTTCCCTCTCTGTGTTTGTCCCAGATACCCAAATCATATCAGCTAGAGCTCTGCAAGGTGTGTGAGCACTGGTGTCTGGGTCTCCTCTGGCGTGAGGTTCCAGTTTCCATTTATAACCTCCAAGTCATGCATCACTGAACATATGTCTCTTTTTTTCCCTCCAAGTTTTTTGTTTTATTGATTTTGCAGCCTGTTACATTGCTATGCTGGTTTATTGCTTTTCCTCCTTAATTTTTATTTAAGATCCATGATTTACAAAGCTACTTATTAGTTATGTATTAGGCAAGCAATAATTAAACACTTTTTCTTTATTTTTTAATTGAGTCACTGTGAGATATAGTTACAAAGTTTTCATGTTTGAGTTTCTGTCATATAATGATCAAACACCTATCCCTCCACCAGTGCATTTTTTCCACCACCAATGTCCCCAGTATCCCCCCCCCATCCCAACCTTCCCCCTGCCTCTGTGGCAATTTCCCCCATACTCTGTCTCTACTTTTGCATATGACTATTTCTTAAAAGCTGCTTCATGTTCTTTGTAGAGTGAGATGAGGTATAAATATATCAATTCATAAATGCATCAATCCTTCAGTTAAATAAAAATTCAATATTTCTAAAGAACACAACTGCAAAGAGGAAATGGCTTTCAGCAAACATAATGATATGTGCAGACAGACCTAGGAGCAGTCCCAGAAATGGAGCCTGCGTGTAAGAACATCACTGGCCACCTCTGACAGACATGACCGAGCTTAGCGTGGCCTGTCTGAACACACTCTTTCCCTACGTGCTTCAATTAAGCAGAGTCTACAAAATTCAAGCTGCCATCCCACCGAGTGCTTCCCGGAGACAAATCAAAGTATTTTTCATAGAAGAGGCACACCACAAACGCTCATCCAAATTTACCAATTGCCTCCCAAGAGCCCCAGGATAGGCTTCCTGAGGGTCCCCTGTGATGTCCTGATGGACCAGTGGGGTTCACACTCAGACATTCTAAGCTCAGGGGTGCTTGGGTGCCCGAGTGCCTGCTGTGAAGTGAGGGGTGAAGCCCGTGAATGGGAGGGTGACCGTGTTCACAGATCTCTATTTGTGGTTTGGGGTAAGGGTGAAGTTGGGACACTGGGAACATTTTGGTTTAAAGTGGGGAAGCTCTATAATATCTCAGGAAAAAAATACAACTGGTTGGTAGGGAAGGAGAATAAGAAGGTAGAAGCAGGGGTCCATGGTTTAGAAGAACAGTTAGATAGTGGGATAGTCAGCTGGATTTGACTGGGTTTTCCATCATATTTGACACGTTATTACAAGGTGTTGCCATGAAGGTATTTTGTAGATGTGACTAACACCTAAAAGAGATGGCTTGAAATAAAAAGAGATCACCCTTGATAATATGGGTGGGTGCCATCCAATCGGCTGAAAGGCCTTACAAGAAACAGCTGAGGTTTCCCACAACAGATACACTGCCTCACCACTGCCCTTACTGGAGTTTGCAGCCTTTTGATCTGACCTGTTGTTCTGGACTTGCTAGGTGCCAGAGGTGGGAGTTGAGCCCTTAAATCAATCTCTCCACGTGTATCTTATTAGAATCCTGACAGAAACTAATGCCCACTGAAAGCTAATATTAATATGGGAGAATTCTGGGCAGGGGAGCTTCAGACCATGGGCTTGAGAATGGAAAGAAAGGCTATGATTGGGACTAGAGCTTGTGGGGATGGGGGTGACAGAGAGGTTATGGGGGAAGGGGTGGAGGGAAGGATACCTCTTGTGCGTAGGTCTATGTGGCCTAGGAGTTTGATTAGGATAAGGCAAAATGAAGATTCCTGAAGAACAGCTAAGCCCTCAATGGCCAAACATCAGAAATATCAGTCTACAACTCTAGGCTGGTCACAGGACGGCACGCTCAGATCTCTGGACAAGTGGCAGGCAGAAAGGATGATGGGGGGGAGCAAGTGATCTGGGAGTGGGTGTGCAGAGAGAGAACAGAAAGAGCACTGAGGAGATCCTAGGACCAGAATCAGTGAAGTAGGAGGTATGGGTGCTCAGGGCTTACTCCTGGCTCTTCACTCAGGGATCACTCCTGCTGGGCTTGGGGGACCATATAGGGTGCCAGGGGTCATATCTGGGTTGCCTGTGTGTCAGGCAAATGCCCATCACACCGTACTATCTATCACTCCAGACCCACAGTGCCAGACCTTAATGGAGTGATAGTGCTGGAGAAGATTATTTGGAAATGTTTGGAAATGGAAACAACATGACATGATGACTGAAATGTAAATTTCAAGTATGTATTTATAAAATCCAAGGTGTGTGTGCGTGAGTGTGTGTGTGCGTGTTTTGACAATTCCACTCTATCCTGCACCACACAACTGACATCGTTCATCTGCTACCTCTCGCTTCCCTTCTCAAAACCACTAATTGGTCTTACAGTCTGAAAGGCTTTATTTGAAACTAGAAGTATGTTTTGCTTTTAACCTTGGCTCTATGGGGCCTTTTACAGTGCTTCAGAAAAATAGAAGTCAGTAAACAGTACGTTCTTTATAAGCATGTTTCAATAAGAATTGCACAGGCGAGTGCATTGAGAGTTGTTTTACTTTCCAGGAGAACACGGGCTGGTTGATGGTCAGGTATTAGCAGCTAGAGAGCTAATGTGCTTCTCAAGGCCACCCCCTGGGCATACTTACTTATTCTCAGGATGGACTCACAGTAAGTGACAATGACAGGAAGACCATAAATCTATTTAGGGGTTATAAGCAATTGGGAGACCTTGACAGTATCTGAAGGTGTTTCTTTTCCTCCAATTCCATTAGCCATAAACTCACAGTAAGCCTTACCTTCTGAGTGCCTATAAAATGTTGAATCACTGCCAGAAATACTTCCTTCATTCTCCAGATTTGCATCAAGGAAGCTTCCTCCTAGAGGTGGAGTGGAGAGGAACAAAGGAGCAAGGAAAAGAGGGGAGGGGGAAGGGAAGGATAGGAAGGAGAGTGGACAGGGGAGGGGAGGGAAGAGAGGGGAGAAGAGAAAGGGAAAGGTGGGGAGGAAAGAAAGGGAAGGGAGGGAGGGAAGGGGAGGAGGAACATGATTAGTAAGTGTCTAAGCATTGATGCTCTGCGTCATTAAACTAGCGAGTGTCATTATGCACTTCATTAAGTTAGTCTCGAAAACAGGTTCAAGGAATCATCGAGTTCCATAATATAATATCATGATTTGTGATCCATCCCCTGTTATTTTCTTTTTTCTCACACTACTTCCAGGTGAGGTAGATTCCAGATTCCAGTAAAGGCTGCCATCTCCAGCTCCCCCCTATGGTGGGGCGATTTGGATTCAAGGCAGAACAGTAAGTTGAAATGTGAGAGATGTGAGTTGCTTTCAAGACCTGAAAAATTACCAGGCGTGTGACAGGGAACAAGGTGCTTCACTCAGCTTCCATACTAGAAGAGTCAGAATGACAGTAGCTGTCTCCTCACGATGGGAGGTACTGGCGTCTCCTCCTCAGCTGCTGTTCACTGCATCCGTACACACCGTTGCCTTTAGCTAATGGTTTAAACATCCCCCTTCTCTTTAGTAGATGAGCCATGTGAGACCACCCAGAGTGCGACAGGTATGCTGTGACATTTGATCTTGAGCCCGACTGCTACTTCTCCAGTGTCTCTCAACTACATACCAGGCTGGTCTCGGCACTCAGCTGGGAAGAATAATGGCCCAGGCCCCTTTTAATCTGGGTTTAACACTACGTGTTTTATTCTCTCTGTGATGACCAGTTCAACAAAAGAGTCGCTGTCACTGTCCTTTCATCGTTCATTGATCTGCTCGAGCGGGCCCAGTAACGTCTCCATCGTGAGACTTGTTTTTACTGTGTTTGGCATATTGAATACGTCACGGGTAGCTTGCCAGGCTTTGCTGTGCGGGCGAGATACTCTTGGTAGCTTGCCGGGCTCTCTGAGAAGGGCAGAGGAATCGAACCCGGCTCAGTCAGGACGGCTGCACGCAAGGCAAACGCCCTACCGCTGTCCTATCGCTCCAGCCCAACAAAAGAGTATTTTTCCTTTTTTCTTATAGAAGTAACATTGTTTAAATAAGACTTTACATGTTTCAGGTGTACAATTTTATAGCTCTTCAAAAGGTACGCTACTCTATACCATACCCACCACTAAATTACCAACATCCTCCACCAGTGTCCATGGGGCCCCAGTGTGGGAATGTGGAGAGCAAGTGGTGGAGAGATCTATAGTAGGTTTAGTAGGTTGTGGACTTTATGAAGTAGGCTGTTAGGGTACAGTTTGGCAAACCACAGTAACTTGGTTTGACCATATGTCATTCTCTGTGTTTGTACTTCTGACCAAGCTTCTAGAAGGCCTGGAGTCGCTTCTTCTAGCACTGTGACCAAGAAAAAAAGGGTTTACCTCCCTGCGTCTCTAAGTCCTCCCTTAGAACATGAGACAGCAGATCAGCTACCTCCTCAGCTCCCCAAATATTCTTCTATGTGGAAAGAATTCCCCGTGGCACGGCCACTCCCGCACTCACTCACCCATCCAGCAAATATTCCACAAGCACCTACTAGATGCTCAGCCCTGGGATGGCTGTTTCTGGCTTTTATGAACACTGCCCCTATGAACCTGCTTGTCTAGGGGGAGAGAAATGCACGATCAAAGATTCACACAGATCAAGTGTGAAAGCGTTGATACGTGAAGTGCTCTGACTAGGTGGGGGCTTATGGGAGAGAGTATGTGACCTGCAAAGAGAACTGAAGGAGGCAGGGAAGGAGTGTTCTTTGAGGCAGAGCCTGCAGAGAAATATAGGCAGGGGTGGGGTGGGGGTAGGGGAACAGAGAGTCACAGAGAACTAAACAAGAGGGAGCATGGCTGCCTCCAGAACAGAGAGAAGAGGTGAGATGGAGACAGACCACCCAGGTCTTGGCAGTCCCACCAGTATTTAGATCTTAAACCCAACTATCATACACAGTCAAGAATCCCCAGAGGGGACACATCTGTGCTGGCTCAGAGAAGCAGGTTAGAGTGAGGTGAGGCGGGACGTGGAAACCAAGTCAGTTCACGGTCTGGGGGTCCCAGCAATGAGGGGGAGCCTGGCCAGGCAGGACGTAGAGGAAAAGGTGGAGAACTTGAAGACTTTTTAGGAAATGGGAGAAATGGGAAATTTGGTCCCTTCACAAAGCAACAGGAAGGAACCAGTCAAGAGATAGGTTGGATAGGTAGGAAGGAAGGGCTGAGATGGTCCGGAAAGAGACAGAGGCAGAGAGCCAGAAAGGGTGGACAGTGGGACCAGGAGGAGCTTCCCATCCAGTCAGCTGAAGAGGGGGGGTGGGTAAAGACAGTCTGAGATTGGGGAGAGTAGGAGGGGCTGGGGACCCTGCTGTGAGAAAGGGGAGGATGGTGGAGAGTAGGAGAAGATGGGAGGATGGTTGGCACCATTCCGGAGAAGAAGGAGACCAGCAAGGGCCAGGCATGGGACTGCGTGGTGTCAAAATTCTGTCCAACACCTCTCCCTGTTTCACTTTAAGTCCATAGGTTGGAGCTTCAGGGTCATTCAGGAGGTGTGACTTTTTTTTTTTTTTGCTTTAGTAGTTATTTTAATATCATGTATATAAACTGGGCTGGAGCGATAGCACAGCGGTAGGGCGTTTGCCTTGCACGCAGCCAACATGGCCGATCCGAGTTCGATTCCTCCGCCCCTCTCGGAGAGCCTGGCAAGCTACCGAGAGTATCTCGCCTGCACGGCAGAGCATGCCAAACACAGTAACAACAAAGTCTCCAAAGGAGACGTTACTGGGCCCGCTGGAGCAAATCGATGATCAACGGGAGGGCCTTTACCTTTACCTTACCTTTTTGCTTGGGGGTCAGGGAGATGCAGATCAAAACAACCAATGAGATATCATCTCACACCACAGAGACTGGCCCACATCCAAAAGAACAAAAGCAACCAGTGTTGGCGTGGATGTGGTGAGAAAGGAACCCTCCTTCAGTGCTGGTGGGAATGCCGACTGGTTCAGCCCTTTTGGGAAACAGTATGGACGATTCTCAAAAAATTAGAACTTGAGTTCCCATTTGACCCAGCAATACCAGTCCTGGGAATATATCCTGGAGAGGCAAAAAAGTATAGTCAAAATGACATCTGTACTTCTATGTTCATTGCTGCACTCTTCACAATAGCCAAAATCTGGAAAAAATACGAGTGCCCAAGAACAGATGACTGGTTAAAGAAACTTTGGTACATCTACACAATGGAACACTATGCAGAAGTTAGAAAGGATGAAGTCATGAAATTTGCAAACAAGTGGTTCTACATGGAAAGTATCATGCTAAGTGAAATGAGTCAGAAAGAGAGGGACAGACATAGGAAGACTGCATTCATCTGGGGAATATAAAGTAACAGAATGGGAGATGAACCCCAAGAATAGTTGAGATAAGTACCAGGAGGTCTGCTCCACAGCTTGGAAGCTGGCGGCACATGCTGGAGGAAAATGCAGCTCAGATAGAGAAGGGAATACCAAGTAAAGGGTGTTTGGAGGACTTGCTTGGGATGTGAGATGTGTGCTGAAAGTAGACTATGGACTGAACATGATGGCCACTCAATACCTCCATTGCAAACCACAACACCCTAAAGGAAAGAGAGAGCAAAAGGGAATGCCCTTTCATAGAGGTGGTGGGAGGGGGGGAAATGTGGAGGAGGGCTATTGGGTTCATTGGTGGTGGAGAATGGGCACTGGTGAAGGGATGGGTATTTGATCATTGTATAACTGACGCCCAAACACGAAAGTTTGTAAGTCTACAACTGTACCTCATGGTGTTCACTAATAAAAAAAAGTCCTTTTTATCTTTTTGATTTTTGTTAGAGTTTTTTTGGGGAGCAGTGAGAATCATTATGCAAGGCTGGAGAGATAGTACAGTGAGTAGGGCACTTGCCTTACATGTGTCTGACCCAGGTTTGATTCCCAGCATCTCAGATGGTCCCCTGGGAACAGCCAGGATGAGTGCAGAGATAGGAGTAATTTCTAGGCATCGCTGGATGTGGTTCCAAAACAAAATTTTTATAAAATCACCATGCTATATCAGAAAAATTATGTGAGAACTCATTACAGAAACCAATCCAGAGACTAGTCTGAATTCAGTGATAGAGACCAGAAAAAACTGTCCTTACCTTATCATCCCCTAGAGCCTATGGATAAGGTTCTTTTATTATCACCACCAAACCATTATTTTGCTTAGATTTACAGATAAGACAGGTAAGACGGTATGTCTCAGGGAAACAACTTGGAAATTTGTTCATTTTGGAACCCACTAGTCTGCAATTCACCCTTTCTAAAATACATACTTTCCCATCTCACACCACAGATACTGGCACACATCCCAACGAACAAAAGCAACTGCTGGCATGATGTGGGGAAAAGAGGACTCTCCTTCACTGCTGGTGGGAATGTTGACTGGCCCAGCCTTTTTGGAAAATAATAAGGACATTTCTCAAAAAATTAAAAATTGAGTTCCCATTTGATCCACCAATACCAGTTCTGGGAATATATCCCAGAGATGGAAAAAAGTATAGTAGAAATGACATCTGCACTTGCATGTTTACTGCAGCACTATTTACAATAGCCAGAATCTGGAAAAAACCTGAGTGCCCGAGAACAGATGACTAGTTAAAGAAACTCTGGTACATCTACACAATGGAATACTATGCAGCTGTTAGAAAAGATAAAATCATGAAATTTGCATATAAGTGGATGAACATGGAGAGTATCATGCTAAATGAAATGAGTCAGAAAGAGAGAGACAGACATAGAATGACTACACTCATTTGTGGAATATAAAATAACATAACAGTAGACTAACACCCAAGGATACCAGATGTAAGGACCAGGAGTATCACTCCATGGCTTGGAAGCTGGTCTCACATGCTGGGGGAAAAGGCAACTGGGATAGAGAAAGGACCACTATGTAAATGATGGTTGGAGGGATCATTCGGGATGGGAGATACATGCTGAAAGTAGACTATGGACCAAACATGATGGCTGCTTAGTACCTGTATTGCAAACCATAACACCCAAGTGAGAGAGAGAGAGAGTAAGAGGGAATATGCCTGCCACAGAGGCAGGGGGTGGGTTGGGGTGGGGGTGGAAGAATGGATACTGGGAACATTGGTGGTGGAGAATGGGCACCGGTGGAGGGATGGGTACTTGAACATTGTGTAACTGAAACGTGATCACGAAAGTTTGTAAGTCTGTAAAAAAAATATGTACTTTCCCATTCTCTTTCTCTCTGTAAACTTCTTCTTGGAGTGTGTGGGAAAGATGGCAACATTTTTAAGGACATGAAGGCTTCTTGCCCACAAAATTCTCTTGTGACCTTTGTGTTAAGACTTTTGTCTTGATAGATTGGTTCTGCAACTGTAGTGGAACGGAAACTTCATGGCCATGTCCATCCCTATTGGACATCTTCTGTCCGATACATTTATAGACTTCTTTCTCTGATTTCTCCACTGAAATATTGTTAGCATGCAGATGGCTGTGTCTTCCTGTCTTGTCACTCTCAGCTCTTAAAGCAGGTGGGCATATGATCGGTGCTCAGTAAATGTTTACTGGAGCAATGAAGAAACCTGAGCCTTACTGACCAATTGAATGGGTCTCCTTTCAGGCCGGACCTGGTTGCCTGAAACTGGGCTGCAGGAGGAGTTGGCTCACCTGGGATGCAGGTATGGGAGCAAGACGAATGGCAGTGCAGGTTGGGCATGTGATGGGCAGTTTCTTTGTTTCTCTAAACTCAGTTCTGGATGGACTGAGGGTCTTTGTAGCTGGTTGATGCAGTGGAGAGGTTTTATAGGGAAAATTGGTTCTGCACTGGGAATTCTGCCATATAGCACGTTAGCACAGTGAAGATATAGTATATGTTCAGACAGTGAAAAATCTGAAAACAAACCTCCTTAGATGTGATACAGGTAGGAAGACGGTGGGGTGGGTTGGTTGGGGAAGCTCCTTGGCAATTAGTTCTTGGGACGTAATAAAACTAAGATGGGATTTGAAAATGTGACTCTGTCACTAGCCCTAATGCAGCTAAAATCAATATGGTGGGGCCCACTTTGTGAACATAGGAATTGAGGTCTGAGGAGACTCTAGCTGGCACCAGCACAGGGCCAGAGAAGGCTGAACTCTGCTCTGGAGAGAAGCTCCAGCAGAAACAAAGGATTAGGATAAGGACTTGAAAGTGAACATCAAGTATTCAAGCTCTTCCCTTTGAAAACACCACAGCAATGGATTCTTATCTAGGTAGATAAGAACTCTTTGGGAAAAAAACCCTATAAAACCACTTTGTGAAGGTAAGCACACACCTCCCCAATTGAGCAGGTATCTGACATCTCCATTGAGATGTATGCTCTCAGCTCTCTTTTCCTCTGGAGAAACCCAAGTTCTCTCTTGAACACATTTCTGTCTATCTGTGTGTGTCTGTCTCTCCCCTTCTCATAATCTCTACGTAAAGTTGTTTTTTGTCACTATCTTTCTCCTCCTGGAACTCTTTTCTGTGAGGGGAAAGGTAACAGATCCAAAAAGCCTGGGTAAGGTCTAGAACTGACTTCTCTTTTCTATAAAAAGCAATTCCTCACTACAGCCTGAGTCCACAGCTGCCAGAGAAATTGGGTGGCAGGGACTATTTCCCAAGCCATATAGAACAACTGGACTTATCAACTTATCAACTTATTTATCAACTGGACTTCAGCTCCAGCTTGACAACCGCCCCATTAGATGGGTCAGATGTGAGGTCTGTGTCGAACAGGGCCTAGATTTCCCCAATCACTTCCTGAATGACCAAGGTGGGCACAGGGGGGACTTGGCAGACTCCACTTTCGAGGCTGCCACCTCTCCTTTCTCCCCACTAAACATAAGTCACCTGCAACAGATGGAGTTGAAGACGGAACTGGCTTACACAGGACTCTGCTTAATGGGCTATAGTGAAACTCTAGCTGAGCTCTCAGTCTTGGTGGCATCTTAAAGCAGGCAGGCAGCACTAAAAAATATAAAAGCATCTGTGCAAGACCCACCTCCAGAGATTTGTAAGTGATTGGCTTGGGATGAAAAAAAGATGCTGGGCACTTGAACTATTTTCCAAGCTCCAGGGTGATTCTACTGTATATTCAGGAGTGAGTCTGGTAGGCAGATGACAGCGATTCAAAGATACTTGGTGTCAGGCAGAAACTCATGCTAATGACTCCTCAGTCCTCTCACAACCAGGAGGACACTTACTACCTCCTAGACTTCTCCCTGCTTGAGGTGTAATTAAGCTTTTAGAAGCATGGAGAATTGGTCCCGTTATCTTCTAATCATCATTCTACAGATTTGAGCACCACCTCACAAATTGTATCTTGCCTGCTTCTCTTCAATATTTATCAAGTGGAAATCTTGGCTACTATGGGGTTGCCAATAGAAAAAAAAAATAAAAAAGTGGTGGGTCTAGTACTGTCATGAAGTGCCTTGGTACCCACAAAATGCTTTTAAGATTGAACTACTGCAATATTGAGGGCATAAGATTGTGCCAGGCATTGAACCATCCTTTGAGTTATAGCTATCGTCTCCAGGTGGTCCGGCAGGAGGGCGGCTTTGTAAACCATCAGTGACTGCCGTGTGGTAAGTACAGTGGATGAGTCTGAGATGAAAGAAGTGGTGAGCCTCCGAAGGTCCAGCACCTAAACCTGCTTCCGTGGTGCCAGAAAGTTCTTCCCAGAAAATAATGCTCCTTTGAAAATCCTATTTGAGGATTTCAAAAGCCTGTGCTGACCCACTTGGGATTCAAGACTGCATCTCCCTTTGAGGGGCTTTAGGAGAAAGGGAAAAAAAATCGGAATTATGCTCTGTGCTATAGGATTCTCCACACGTGCTGCTTCTCCTCTATTCTGCATTAAGCAGGAGAGAACACCCACAGGGTTTGAATTTGGTGACATGGAAACAGTCCATATCACCACAGAAAGCAGATGCAAAAGAGAGCAAAGATGCTTTGGGATGTAAATGAGAGAGTCAATTTTATTCTGGAACTTTCTTGAGTGAGCTCTTTGGCATCGAAAAACTACAGTTAAGAACCTTTCTTTTAAAGCTGTATTTGTTTTATGCTTCCATGTCTCTAAAAAATTCTTTTAGAAAAATCAGTGCAGGGAAAAATAAAAGAAGGCATGTAAACCTTTGGTACAATTCTCTTAGTTACAGGTTACCCGAGTCGCTTGAAAGACAGAGATCATAACAACTACCACAAAAGGCCCTAAGTTCTTCTGCATTTAATGTCCCATCCCATCTCCCCCCCGCCCCACCATCTCAGTGATTGGCTTCTTTTCTAGGGAAAGAAACAACCAAAAACTTTATTGAGATTACAAAAATATAAAATAAAAATAGTACAAAACCCCAAAGGGAATGATTAAGATTTTCTTTCTTTTCTATTTCTCATGGGTCAAAAAATATATATACCTGTTTACCCATCGACAAATTGATGGAAAATTCTGCCTTGAGGAAGAGAGAGACTTCCTTTGGAGAAGGACCTGCTGCTTCTATTCTGACATTTCTTCCTACTAGTCTAACACAATCCAGTAAGATAATTTCCCTTTGTAATTACAGTGGTTGTCTTAACAGTATAAAAACAATCAAGTTAGAATTGGTCCTGTACCAATACTTCCCTAATTCTTCAATTACATCAAATTCTGGGCCTGCTAATGAGTAACATTTTAGAATAGGAAAGAAGGGTAGTAAAGAACAAACTCTTCTACACAAACAACCAAAATATTATTTGCCAGTGTTTTAATCACCGTGGGACAAATGGAGAGAATTTTCTATTTCTAGGGATCCAGAAATAAAATGTCCACAATTTGCAGAAATACTTTGGCCCTCCAAGTTCTTAACATATTCCAGTGAAGATGCTAGGAAGAAAGAGGGAAAACTTCACAGAATCTTTGACTAGATCCTTTAATTTCCACTCCTTGTGACCACCAGAGATTTCATCAACACTCCCTAGTTCCAGGTGAGTATATTGAGGCATCCAGGACCTCTAAGCAGACCTTCTTCTAGCTGATAAGCCTAGTAAACACTGGCTCCTCCCCAGCGCAGCCGCCCACATACCTAGACTGTCCAAGCAGGCTCCGCTCTCCAGTCGGTGCTTCCTATACAGGTTCTTCAGGACTTTGGCACTGCCAAAGCGCTTGAAACGGCTCTTCACATTATTGTAGAACCATTCCAGAGACTGGGTTCTCAGCAGCCTGAAGAAAACACAAAGTTTGAAAGCAGAAGGTGAGAAGTTTGAAGCAGAGTGATTAAATGGTGGGTTGTGAAAACGGCCACAATTCTCTGCAACTCTGTCCATCAACAGATGAACTTTCTCTCTCTAATCCATGGATCTGGTTTGTCCTGTGACTGGCTCTGAGCATCAAGCATGGCGGAATTGATGCCGTTGGAGGCGCTCTCTCTCTCTCTCTCTCTCTGTTGATATTCACACATACTACAGGGAATGCCATGACCAAGTGGTCAACCTACAGGGGGTCATGGGGCTAATGCTGCTCCTGAATAGATGAGAACTTACAATTCCCAATTCCTGTTACATACAGTCTGTGGACTGTCATTTTTAACAAACAGTGGTTTACAATAGCTCGGTTTTGCAGTTATCTTTGATTGCAACACATTCATTTGCCTGATGGCTCAATCTGTTAAATTCATTCACGTTCACATTCATTCACATCTTTGTTTAACAGTTATTCCCTTGGGGACATCACCTTAGGAAACTGGAGTACTGTTTCTCCTCTTTCTGTCATTTTCCCTCCTTGCATCTGTCTAGAGAACTTTGTAGATTCTGATGTTACAGTACATGAAATGCTCCCACATGTCAGATCAATGGTGCGGACAGCAGCCTTGGGTGCAACAGAGATGGTGTTCACATAAAAGAGGCAGATTTCCATGGTGACACGGAGGAAACTTTTTTTTTTCCTCCTGAAAAGGGCGACGTAGACCTAATCAGTTTGGAATCTCTGTTCACCTATGTGAGCAACTGGACTATGCTGAAGGCACCAAGAGCATAAAATGGAGAAAGTAAAAACACATTCAATGAATGGAGCTGGGAAAATCTGGAGAGTCAGGTGCAAAAGAATGAGATGAATCACATTTTTATATCCTGCACAAAAGTTAACTCAAAATAGACTTGGACATTAGGTCCTTCCAACCCAGCCATAAAAATCACAGAAGGAAGTAGGCAAAACCCTTTGTAATACTGACTTGAATGATTATTTGAGAAATTGACTCCAAGACTAAGGGAAACAAAAGCAAAAATTAATAGAGATATTAAGTTATGTTTATACACAATGGAATACTTATCACATATAAGAAAAGGTAATTTTTTTATCTGTGGGGAACAGGTTGTGTCTTCCAAGAAGCTCAGGGAGTCTAAGGGCCACTCTTGGAAATTTTTGATCAATCTGGCTGTCCGTGATATGCAAGGGTCCAAGGATGTGGTGGTGCTCATGCCCGTTGGTGCTGGGATTTACCTGGGTAACCCTGGTAATGCTCAGGGTTTTCCTGACACCTGTCAATGCTCAGGGGTCTCTAGGGCTTGCATCCAGAGATGCTCCAGGCCATAAGATTGTACCTGGGGTCGGGTGCATACAAACCAGAGTATCTCCTGAATTATCTCCCTGGCCCCAAAGGATGAAATCTTGTCTTCTGCAACCACATAGATGGAAATAGAGAGCATCATACTGAGTGAAATAAATCAGGATAAAGATAAATGCCAGATTATCTCACTTATATGTGGGATATGGGGTGGGAGTGATAGTACAGCAGGGCTTCTGCCTTTCACAGGGCAACCTGGATTTGATCTCTTGGCACTCTATATGGTCCCCTGAGCCCCGACTGGAGTGACCTCTTAGTTCAGCGTCAAAGGTAGGTCCTGAACACAGCTGGGTATGGGCCAAAAGCCACACCATACCAAAACAAAACAAAGTGAGAAGCAACAGCAACAACAACAAAGAATCAAAGCAAGGAAGAGACAAAGTCAAACAAAAATCAATCCTTTCATTCTGACTGCACAACTGAGGTTAGCGAAAGGGGAGCTGGAAGAGAACGGAAAAGGGTGAAGGGGGTCCAAAGGATAGTGGGGCAGGAATATTGGTTTTGGGGTAGTGAGTGTCGTACGGTAACATACACTTGAAAAGGGATGAAACTAAACCTTTAAAGCATGAGCAATAGGACGAGGGGTAGGGCATTTGCCTTGCACTTGGTTGACCTGACCAACTTGGGTTCGATTCCTCCGCCCTTCTTGGAGAGCCTGGCAAGCTACCAGGCTTATCTTGCCCATGCAGCAAAGCCTGGCAAGCTACCCGTGACGTATTCAATATGCCAAACACAGTAACAACAAGTCTTACAATGGAGACGTTACTGGACCTGCTCAAGCAAATCGATGAACAGGAGGACAGTGTTACAGAGCAGTGCTACAGTCCTATAAACTGTTAACCTCAATAAAATATAAGCTAAAAAAAATGACGCTTAGATGTTTTGACTTAGTATTACTGCAAAGAGTTTTTCAGGATGCCCCAGGAATGGCTGTCATGATCATTCCCATTTGATATATATATTTTTTATTTCATTTATTTAAACATTCACAGCTCTGTGGTTTGCCGGGGCGAGGGGTGTGAGGAAGCCAGCACCCAGGGAGGGCTCGATTACGCATGCCATGGGGTCCAAGACTAGACTGTCTCCAAACAGAGCTGATCTCAGGCAAGGATGGAAGCAAAGGAGAGAGTTTCTGCCAGTGTGTGCACCCAGCTCCCACCCCAGCTCACAAACTGCTTCAGTTTATGGTGTGTCCTAGGTGGCAGGCACTTTGCTAGGAATATAGGGGATGACAGAACAGATGAGGTCAGATGAATCTCTTCAAACAGTGCCTGCAGAGTCAAGAGAAGAAGTCAATACCCACAACACAGGCATCCTGCAAGGGCAGCCTGGGCTTCTGGTTTGTCCCAACAGCCCTGTGAGGAAGAAAACCACCTGCTCTATGAGGCACTGACCAACAGGTCCAAGAGTTCCTGCTCTGTGACAGGAAGTACCTGGGGAGGCAGCTGAGAAAGGGTGGACCACTGTCCTGGGAAAGCTACTGGGAAGATGGCCAAGATGGAATGAACCAATGTTGCTCACTGGAGCATTACTTGTAATGGAAAAAAAAATTGCAGGCAGTGTTGGTTCATGTATTCATTCCTTCCATCTTCACTCACTGGCTCACTCATTCATTAAACACATGCTGAGCACCACCCACTGTCAGGTGCAGAGGTGAGAATGGAACTTGTAGCAGGGACCACAGGTCTGAGCACAGTCTCCCAGCGTGCATGGGCCAGAGAAGGGGACAGAAACTGGTGGGAAAATAACTAGGTCTCTGCTGGGTGGAGCAAGTGCTGTGATCAGAAACACAGCAGGGTTAGGCTAGAAGAGAAATGTCCAGGGAGAGGAGCTACCGGAGGTGGTTTGGGAAGGCCTCCCCAGTAAGCACCTTTAGAGCAGGGACAACAGAAAGGAGGAAGTCATGTGGAACCCGGACAAGGACACTCCAAGAAGAGGATGGGAAGCAGAAAGGCCGGGCTGGGCTGGTCAAGCTTGCTTTGCATGTCTGAGCAACCCAAAGAAATTCCGTGTGAACCAGGTAGGGAGTCCGGTAGGGAGCATATTATTGTAGGGGTTTAGGGGAAAGGGGAAGACAATGGTAGAGTGGGAGCACTGAGACAGTGGAGGGAAGCTGACAATGGGTGGAGGTGTGATTCTGGAATTTTTTTTTCATGAAACCCTGCCATTATTATTATTGTAAATCACAGTACCTAAAATTAAGAGAAAGAGAAAGAGAGAGGAGAGAGAAAGAGAGAGAGAAGAGAAAGAGAATGGGTAAACTGTTATTTCTCCATTCAACCAAAGACTGTACAGCAGTAATGTATATGAAATGAAGCACTGTAGCACTGTCCTCCCGTTGTTCATTGATTTTCTCGAGTGGGCCCAGTAATGTCTCCATTGTGTTACTCTATTTTGGCATATCGAATGCGTCACGGGTAGCTTGCCAGGCTTTGCCGTGTGGGCGAGATACTCTCCGTAGCTTGCCGGGCTCTCCAAGAGGGACGGAGGAATCAAACTTGGGTCGGCCGGGTCGGTCGCTTGCAAAGCAAATGCCCTACCCACTGTGCTATCGCTTCAGCCCATGAAATGAATAAACACATTAATATATATTCATCACGAATCACGAATCACGACCATCCTGTTATTCATCGATTGCCTCGAGCAGGCCACAGTAACATCTCCTTCATCCTAGCCCTGAGATTATATTCAAGGCTCTTTAGGATTCATATTCATTTAATAATGTATATGAATAATGCATTCATATACATTATTAAATGAATAAACAAGATAAACTTTTTTTTAAGTGGGGAAAGGGAGGGAGTCTCTTAGCAGGGCTGGAGTCCCAGGGCCACTCCTAGTGAGACTCCTGCCCTGCTCTGCTGGTCTCCATGAGCTGCGTCTTCTTTCTGTTCCATTACTCTAGGCACCACACCACGTGGCATTTTACATTCCTCCAGCACTGAGTACACCAGGGGATTTCTTATGGATCTCTGACAATCTGTCTATCAAATTCTTGATAATTTCTACCACAAATCCATGGTCTATTAGCTGACAAGAGCATCTCCATGGCACAGTGGCAAAAAAATCTCAACAATGGCTATTGGGCAGGTCTTGAGGAAGGAGGCCTGGACTGGGGTTGGGGGCTTGAAATATAGATTTGGGGATCCTTGATCCACGGGGAGTATTAAAACCAATCATTGGTGTATTGGTCGTGTGACTTATCATTATCCCATTTTTAAACAATGGAAAAATAAAAACAAGTGTTTTGCTGATAAGCCACTATCTGAACTAGAAGCAAATCTGCAACAGACTAGATCTCATCCCTGGGTCCATTCCTTGCTTTCTGAATGGTTGTTTTCCTTCCAGAAGTCCCAGTTAGTTCTCACTGCAAATAAGAGCTTTTGCTTCCAAGTTTAAACAAATAGAAATCCCCCACGAATCCTTGGAATCAGAAGAAATCTAAAACCATTGTACTGTTTTCCTAAAAATACCTACTTACCATATTGTGAATGCAAGTCACGTCAAGTCAAGCCATTTGTTGTGTAAGCAGCTTTCTAATTCCTCCCCACTCCCCATATGAATATATTTGTAGGCATGATGTGTTCTCGGCAGAAGATAG